ATTTCAAGTAAACAGAGAAGCTGCTGATAAGGCAAGTGTGTGTGTGTAATAGAAGTAGTGTGTGTGTGTGAAAGTTATCTTATCAGTGCAACACCAAGTGAGAAGTAGGTTATACTTTGCTATCTTAAACAAGGTGCCACTAGTCATTTTGGCATGTGATGTGTATTGTTCACAGGAAACCCAGGAACAAGTGGCACAGGAAAACCTACATACTTTGGCTAATCTTTAATAGTAACCCCCCGCTGACACAATGATGTCAGTCATTTTGCCTGACATGCAGCATTCCCAGTCACTGACTGCACTCCATGGACAGGTGAAGCCATTTTTTTTTCTGAAAAGTGAACGTGTGTGTGTCTGTGAAAAGACTTATGTCAGCATTTGTGATGAGGCAACTTACAGCTCATTCTCCTTTCCAACTAGTTTTTACATTGTCTGGGTCAAACACTGCAAATAAAAATATTATATTCATTGTGAACCAAACTGTAAGTATCTGACATCTCTTGAAACTTAGTTTCCTATTTGTTGATGAAAACTGATCTGCAAATCCTTCTTTACACTTCACTGGTGCAAGTCTTGTTTACCAGCTGGTCTGGAACACTTCTAAAGCCACTCCTCTGTGAGTCCCTGAGTTTGGAGCACAGTTTGCATATGTGGCTTCATCCCTTTGGGAGTATCTCCTGCTGAACACATAGTAACACAACAGGTGCCTGGTATCCAGAGCTATAGACCAGTGCGTAGTCTATACGAGTGTGTGTTGAATGTTTGCCTTCAAGTCCTAAATGCTGCTCTTACAGTCCATCTTTAGTAGAGATATTTGTCTAAATGTTCCCCTTGCCAGTGTGTTGTCAACATATTTGCAATGTAAAGAGTTGAGAGACTTTTCAGACTGAGTGTGGACTCACGTGTGTATAGATTGTTGCCATAGTTTTGACCCCTGGGGAGGTCATTAGCTGCTGTACCTTTAAGTTTAGCACTGTACTCCGTCTTGTCAGACTGACTCCTCCTCACCAGCGTCCCCAGGTTGATGTCACCTTTGGCCATGTCATCAGCCACAATAGTGTCCGTCTTCCTCCTTTCCAGGTAACGCAGGAACACAGGCCGGTTCCTCCTCTTTATCACTTTATCCTTCTCTTTTTCCTTCTCACTTCCGCTGGCCTCCTTAGGATCCATGACGAGGCCGTCAGCTCCCTTGGTGCTTTCAGACCAGTCGAGGAGAAAAGAAGGGGAAAACAGAGGGACAGGAAGAGAGAGAGAAACAGAGAGAGAGAGAGAGAGAGAGAGCCTGGGAAGTGCAACAGGTGTAATGTCCACTGTGCACAGACAGCTCTGCACAGGTAGTCTAGCTCCTCCCCATGTCTACCTGTCATGAGAGATATGTGGCCACACCTCTCCACTGCTGCTATGCGTCTCTCTTTTAGACCTTTATGTTCATCCAGGGAAAGAAGTGCATCACTTTCTCTCACTTTAACTCAAAGGTTTGACGACAATGACCCCCAGCTTCTTTTTGCTCTTACTAAAATGTCAAAATAAAATGCATGTGAGACCTTGCAGAGACACCAACGATGTCAAAAAGGTTGACAAGGAAGTATTTATGTAAATAACCCGGGCACTGAGAGTCACACTTGACAGTACTGAGTTTTATATTTAAGTGGATTTAAGTTGAACATTGAACACAAGAAATAAGTTGAGCATGTCATGCCTACAGTGCACTCCTTAACTGTAGTGAAAAGCTGTAAGCAGCTGAGCTAATGTTAAAGACAGGAAACTGATTCAACAATAAATGAAATTAATGAAAGAAAATCAACATGCACTGTATACATTGCTTCAGAAGTGTTCAAGGACATGATTCAAGCTGCACTCATAGATATGCTGACTAATAAGCTGTGTAAACTTGTTAGTTTTCAGTGTTTTTTAAAGAACAGAGGTTGTGTTTTTCAAAGGATGGAAATCAAATGAGCATTTTCTATATTTTTGTTTCACCTTACAAAAATGTATTCACTCTATTTACAACCTATAAATCAACACTTATGAAATGTCAAACCTGGTTAGACTGGTAATTCATCAACACGCATGCTGCCACAATGATTTCTAGTCATAGCAACCAGATATGGTGTTCCTTACCAGAACAATGAATGGATGCATTTCCTCCCCATTGAACCACAGGTACTGACGGTTCCCATTGTGTTTTCAGATCACTGCGCAGTGTTCTCATAGTACACCTGTTTAACTTCCATTAGACACACATAGGCTCACCAGTATATCTCTGTTGGTCTTTACATAAGACTGTACATTTTTAGTATCTCACATTGTGTCATTATCATGATTTATGTGTGTATTTAAGAAAAACTCAAGAATTACATTTAAAAATGTTCATTTGTTGTCTCTTTTCTACTAAACAAACCCAGTCAAATTGTGTTCAAACATAACAGAGGTCAGCCTTAGCAGGATTACGTAACTAAGTGGACATGGTAAAATAAACTATACTGAATGATCACATGCTCTATACAAACATGCAAATGAGTAAACAATGTTATCTGCATTGACAGTGTGGCAATATTTATATGACATCATGTCACTCAGGGTGTGGTTTTTCTTAAACCTGCTCAAGGTGAGAAGTGGAAAAAATGTTAGGCACTGAAATAGAGTTATTAAACTTATACTGCCCATAGCAAAAAATTAAGCTTCACATTAGGACCTTTATTCCTATTAATGGTTAATTTGACAATTATTTTCTAAATTAATTTGGTCTTTAAAATGTCAGACATTAGTAAATATCCATCAGAATTTCCCAGAGCAGCAAATCCTCAGATTAGAGAAGCTGTAACCAGAGCAGGTAATGGTTGACATTTTTGCTTTATAATTGACATAAATCATTAATGGAGTGTCAAAATAACTCCCAATTTTTCTTCGACTCATTGTTTCCACTGTTTTTCAGATGACAAACTTTACAACAGATTCCACATAATGCACTATAAAATATATTAGTCAAGCAGAAACAATATTGTCATTATTATAAGCTGCGTTTTGAAAATGATTGACCACCCACAGCATATTTTCAGTGAAAAACGATCAAATGAAAATATTTTCTGAAAATAAATTTCTAAAAGAAACAAAGGCTAATATATATACATATTTTTCGTGGCTTGTTTGGTGAGAACAACAAAGAGAGCCTTATTTTTTTCAGAAGTAGCCAAGGAAAGTAGCAGCAGGAGCCAGCCAGGTGGGTGAATAGGGAAAGAGGGAAATAAAAACACACTCATGCCTGAAACTGTCTTTTACAGCCACAGATTTTTACTGCTGGCCACTTGGGCACCATCACTGCAAGAGTCATGGTTGAGGGCTTGGCTTATGGGCACCGACAGAAACTGAAGGAAGAGACACTCTTCTCATTTGGCTCCTGATTCAGACTTTCCAAATCAGTACTGACTGAATGGACATTTTAGCCATATGAATCTCTCACAACATCCCAGGTCACCTCCCATCATCATTATCATGTTAAGTTAAAGTATTTTGACCTTGCCACCACTGCCCAACTTAAAGGTTTAAAGCAGCTTTTCTTGAAGCACCCGAAGTATTTTGTGCTTGGCAGAATAAAAGCCCTTTGGCAAGTGCATCAAAGGCAAGCACGCAATTTAAGATTTTAATAAACCAGTTTTTTATGGGTGCCGATATGGAATTTGTTTGAACAGAGACCAGCCTATACAACAGTAAAAGAGACATATCAAGGTGACTGGGTTGGGTGTTTGTTCAGTGCACAATGGATACATATGGACTTTGATCTCATGATGTATTGTGGAGACTACCAGCATATAATGCATTAACTTACAGGTTATAAAAACAAAAGCAGGGGGACATTAAATCAAGAGCTATAGGGACATATTTGTTCTAATCAATGGAGGCCAAAGTGGCTCAGAAAGGATGAGATAATACAAAATTTTCTAAATATAACATGCATTGAATATGGAAGAATATATTGTAAAATCCTGGTGTGCATTAGCCTGAAGTTAATGACAATGACAATGACAATCAATTTCTTGCTTCAGCTTCAACTGATGGTAACTAATACCGCTCTTACTATATTATCACGTTTTTGTTAGCTGTTTCATGAAAAGACCAAAAAGGTAAAGATAAAATAGAGATCATAATTAATCCATCTATCCATATCAGCCATGCATCATCAATTAAATAGGCTACTATGTTTTTCCTATCGGTCAGAGACATCTGCCATTCCTTGGACAAAGACACTAGTTTGCCAAGATATTAATAATGTGACCTGTCAAGCAAATGTCCTTGTGTTTTGTGTTGTGTGTTTTGGGAGGACTGATAGGCTAGGTGGCAGTAAAATGAAGCTACTACAATAACCAAAAGCATGCAATGGAAGAATTGTGAAGTAATTATGTAAGAAAGAGTTCACTTCCGGTTGCAACCATTTTATCATCAAAATAAAAGTGCAATGATGACGAACAAGCAGATATGTGGCCTGTTGAGGTCCAGTGACACTTAACAAAATCTGTTCAATTATATATTCAAATGATGCATAATCATAATAAATCAGTTTTGGTGACTCTCCTGATCTTAGTTGTAAGCCTGGCCTACGCCATAGGCCCATGAAACGTTTTATGGACATTTATGAGCCAGAAATGAACCCTCTCTTTTTTTAATTTAGCCCAGGAGCTTTTTTTTTTATAGCGTCACACTCATATGATATATATATATATGATGCACATATGATACTGGCATATTGCATTTTCTAACTACCTTGATGCTACCAAGAGGACACACCCTTTTTAGTTTGTTTTTTGACCCAATGGCTTTCTCTCAGATTTTTCATTTGAACTAAAAGGAGCAAAATGTAGTAGTAGATAGCCATGAAAATCATATTTCCCAGAGGATACATTTCACACTCATTCAGATTATGTTTCCCCCCTTTTTGTGGCCTCTGTGAATCCTTTTATTTTGAAAAACCCTGACCGGAACGTTTATCTCCACTGTGGCGGGTTTCGCTCACTGGCCCGGATGTGGGGGAGGTGGAGAACGGGAAGCAGGGACCGAGAGGAGAAGAAGTGTGTATAATGAGCCCGCTGCTGCAGCGCTGCTCGCTCGGCTGCCTGGTGACAGCTTTCGGCTCATTTTCCGCTTCCCGAAACAAACTCGTCACACAAGCAGCAGCAGCGGCGCCTCGTCTGTATTACTCGAGAAAAACGATGCACTATCAGACGGAGGAGAGAGGACGCCCCCATTCTCCCGACTACCGGATTTATTTTAGTAAGTTTATCACCGGCACCGTGGCAGACACCATGAGTGTCCAGTGAGTGCAGCAGTTTGGTACCAGCGCCTGGTGACCACACTGTCGACCAGCAGGTCAAGGTAAACGTTTGACCTTTGAGTTGCAAGGTGCGAGGGTTTTCTTGGCGTGTGGCACTCATAGCGTTTAGCTTTCGAGTCAAACCCCCGCCTATGTTAGCCCCCCGGTCTCCATTAAGCTGAAATACATCATAAGCAGAAAGAGCATATTTCCTTGTGTATCCTCGCGTGGTGTTACTTCCTGTTGGGCGGTCACGTGGACCTTTTTATGAAATCATAAAGTGGTGTTGTAAAATTCAGACCCACACATCAGGTGAAGTTCCACTCATTAAGTTGTGATACAGGTTTGATCACTTTTATGTATTTATAATAAACTAATACATACATTTAATTCATTATTATTTGGTCTTCCCTAACTAATGGTGGACAATGATGCGTCACTTGTAGAATATCTATGTGTAACAATATTAGCCTTATAAAATATCACAATATTCTCTTTAATATGGGTAATATGACTGTATTTTGATTATGGCTTCAGGTGTTTTCATACAGCTTTGATATAAATTAAAGAAAACTTCAGTAACATTGGTAGTGTAGATGATGTCCAGTATGACCAATAACTCATTTTTGTACAATCTAATGAACCCCCAAATTAACTATACAAGTTGTAACTGACAGTGGAAAAACTACACCTGTAACTCGCCATGAAATTAAATATTAAACAAAAATATATTAAACTTTCTGAGTTTTTTTCTGGAGATTTTCAACTGGATACCAGAGTGGATGGAATTAGTTCATTTGTCATAGCGAAAGCTCAATGTCCGTATCAGTCTGAACTATCTCAGTGTCAACTGAGCAAACGCTTTCTGCCAAAGAAGACAGGGAGAAGCTTGTAAGTAACCTTGAGTCCCCATTTATGTATGTATTATAATTATTTTATGTACAAAAAAAAAAAACGTCTTCTTGGAATTCATTGACACAATTATACGTGAGAAGGTTTTATTTTCTAACCAATTTTTTGTTTTTTCTTAGAAACATCCCAAGGAAAATACATTTCACCATTCCATGACATTCCACTTGTAGCGGAGACAGAGCAGGTAACAATTTGATAGTTGATAGTTAGTTTCTGTTGGATTAATACTGCATAAAGACTTTTTAGCTTAAAATGTATAATGTATTCTTTTCAACAGGGCAATGATGTGCCAGCTAAAAAACCCAAGAAGAATGAGAGTGAGGTACTGTCAAATTCTAATATTTCCTATCCGTTTTACCACCCCCCAAAAAACATTTACCCCAGCACACACACGGTATATAGCTTTATTCTCTGTACTGTACTTTCAGGTGCTCTTTAACATGGTTGTGGAGGTACCTCGATGGTCAAATGCTAAAATGGAGGTAAGAAGGCTATAGATACAGTACCTCACATTAAAAAAAAAATAAGATCTGATTAGTACACTTGACAATGGCTGAGATTGAAATGCTTAAGTAAGTACACTGCAGGTAACTTAAGAAATTAAGTGCTTGACTGAAAAGTCTCCAATAGCCTTCTCTGGAGTTAGCATAGCAGTAGCCTGAAGCCACTGTTATTTAGCTAGCATAGCAATAGCCAGAAGGCGAGGTGTTGAGTATTGGTGACATAAGAGAAATCAAATATTCTTAAAACACTTGCAAAAGCAAGCACTCACACATAAATACATACACGTACCCTCACACGTGCTTCGATTTCCAGATTGCAACAAAGGAACCGCTGAACCCGATCAAACAAGACGTAAAGAAAGGAAAGCTCCGGTATGTTGCCAACATATTTCCCCATAAAGGTTACATTTGGAATTATGGGGCACTCCCACAGGTGAGGACAATGCACACTTTGCAGGGTCTGGGTTGCATGAGAAGTTGAGTCAATAAAATTGTTTCGTGAGACGTCCACCATCTTCATGCTTTATTGATTTTGATCCTAGTCGGTTGCTGACAAATAACAATACTGCAATTTCAACACCCACTGTCTTTATGCCCATGAGTGCATTTTATATTTATTTATTTTGTCAGTTAAAAATGTTTGCTTGAAAAATTCTCACATTTGTGAACTGTTGCTTGGAAAAGACATGGGAGGACCCAGACCACACAGACAAAGAGACAAAGTGTTGTGGTGATAATGATCCTATTGACGTCTGTGAGATCGGCACCCAGGTAAGAGATATATGTAAATTATATAATAGTATATTATCCTATATAATAAGATGTCTTTTGCTCACTTTATATACACTTTTCAAAGATAACTTGATTGTGTGGTTGATTGATTTGCCGGTTTATTTGTAATTTGTTGTTCTGTTCTTCAGGTGTGCCTTCCAGGTCAGGTGATCCAAGTGAAAGTGCTTGGAATCTTGGCCATGATTGATGAAGGGGAAATGGACTGGAAGGTCATTGCCATCAATGCTGAGGATCCAGATGCCAAAAATCTGAATAGTGCGTGTTTTCCACAGATTACATCAACGATCATCATTTAGAAACTGCCTTACACTGATCCTGAGGAAATCTAGTCCAGGAAACCTGTCATGATCATAAGTCATGGAAATTAGGATTTTATCTAGAATCAAATGTAAAGTATGATTGGTATTAATGCATTACTTTTTTTAGATTAGCTGCCCAAATAATCTCCAGAACATGTCAGATCTGCATTTGACCACATACTATAAATATTAATATATATATAGATATTAATGTACCTGCAAGTGATTGAATTTGGTAATAAATATTTGCAGAAATCCTGACTTCCAGGGAAGTTTGGCAACACACTGAATAACTTCAGACTAGCTGTGTAGTTAAAACACTAAACTAGAACATACCCTACTGAGTTTGTATTGTCAACATAGTTTTGTTTACATTCAATTTTTTAATACACAACATGTGTATCCTTAAGGCCTAACAAACATGTTTAAGGCTTTTTTTTAAAATACTCTACACATTTGCAAAACCAATTTCTCTATATTTTTAAGCCTGTATTGTATACATCAGCTACAACCTTCTAATTCATGCCAGGTCAGATAAGGTGCAAATTGGTCCATTGTTCTTGTTCTGATGAATGAGTTTGTGTTCTCCTCAGGCATAGAGGATGTCCGCAAGAGCAGGCCTGGTCATTTAGAGGCCACGGTCGACTGGTTTAGGAAATATAAAGTGCCTGATGGAAAGCCTGAGAACCAGTTTGGATTCAATGGACAATTCAAAGACAAGGTACTGAGACCTTTGTAACACAGTAGATAAGACATGACAGTTTGTGTACTAGGGGTTGCAGTCCACTGAATGGGTGTAAATGGATTTCTCCAAAGGAATCCAAATGATGTATTTTTCTCTGTTTTTTTTTTTTGTCCTTTTTCTAGGACTTTGCTGTTGAGATCATTAAGTCTACCCATGAGCACTGGAGGGCACTAGTGCAGAAGCAGACAAATAGTGGAGGGATCGCATGGTAAGTTTGTGGAGGTAGTGTAACCCCTGCAGTGTGCATGTGTGTGATGTACATGTATAATTGGCTATGTAAGTATAATGAACACTGAACTGAACAATTTTTTCTTTTTTGTTTAGCAAAAATATCTCCTGCTGTGAGAGCCCTTTCAAATGCAGTGCAGATGAGGCCAGAGACGTGGTCAAATCGGTGAGAACTTCCATTATGCTGTTTCAAAAGGATGATAGAAAACACAACAACAGCAGACAAAAACTATTAGGGTTAGGTTTGGTAATTGTCATCATTTTACACTGCAGGCCCCAGCATTTGGCAGCGCCCATCCTGTGTCTCCAGAAGGTAAGTAAATATTCAGATATCTGCTCTAAATTTGGCTTATTTTGTGGTGTTATATGTTCCAACACTTATATTTTAATGTGGTTCTTAATCTTCTCTTACACAGTGGATAAGTGGCATTTTGTCTGACAGTATATGGAGACCAACAAAATGCTGAACATCATATGAAGAAACGGCATCTTTTGTATGATGCTGGATTTATTTTTGGTAAGAACTCATTCTCAGATGTAAAAAGTGTCATCTATATTTACCATCCAATAATTTGTTGAAAAAAGAAACTGTTAATAGCCATACACTGAAAATATGAGCTGGTGAAAATCTGTACTTTCATAATGCTGCATACAGAACCAGAAGTGAGATGTCTTTTTCTGTGCCATGTTGGACTCCAGATCGATTTATTGTTGGAAACACCAATTCTAATGTAGATGTTAATCACAGAAAGAATTGGTCTCCTTTCTATTGAATTGTAAATTATGTTGTATGTGTACTGCAGTATTTTTGTGGCAAGGTCCAACCTTGTATAAGACTGAAAGTTATGACAATATGCTTTAAGTTGTTTTTTAGACTGTAATCAGTTTTGTTATTATAACCACAAACACAACACAATTTGGATGTAACAAGTAAAAAATACCTGGGTTAATTAAAAAACTAAGGCTTGAACATGACATGATCTCTTTCCAGTTTCATCTGTAGTTCCACATTTAAAAACTTAAACATGTTGACAATAATGCAAAGACTTTAGATAGTAGTATTAACTTGGAGTAACAAATCAATTTGCTTTAAATAAATATAAATTTTATTAAAAAAAACACCCACATCTCAGCAATATCAGGAATGATATAATAAACAGCTTTCAAATAAACTGCATTCAGTACATTACAATACTTACAGTATTAATACCCATCCTTAATTCCATTCTTTGTAGCATACCAAACTTCAGGAGAACAAGGGAAGCCTTAAAAAATAAAATGACAGGCAAAAAGTTGCACATTTTTTTTTTAAACCTTTAGTGTCTAACTGCAAAAAGACCAAGTGTGTATCAACTGCTAGCTTAACCTTTGAGCTAGTTAAGCTCAAAAAGTCATTCAAGTAATGTTGATTCACTCAGAAACACTCTGAAGCATCTTCAAGTATGGCTATGCTTTTAACCCGCTATATCTTAGATACCTCGGCTTTCTTAACCACAACCTGCTACTGTAGCTGGGTCCTGTACAACGAAATTCAACATTTTTTTTTTTTTTGTAAATTTATTTTACAAAACTGGAACAGTTAAAGAAAACTAAAACTTCTAATGTCTGAGAGAACTGGATACTATAACTGTAAACATTGCTGTGACAGTGAGCATAAATTTACAAAGACTTCCTGGATAATCTAACCATGATCATTCTTTTAACCTGAAAGAGCCAAAAGGATATTTAAAGATATGAGGAGGATTGCTGATAGAGGAGCTGTGGGTCAATTTGACAGAACAAGATGAACCTACATCAAAATCAAAGAATGAGTTGTGTTTCTGCAATACAGGTTCTTGGTATGTACAATGTGACATAATTTATTTATTTTTAACACATTTACAATCTGTTTTAAATAAAACGTTTTGTAATTCTTTATTACATATTTTTTTCCTGAAAAAGAAATGAAGTGCTTTCAGAAAATGAATATGTTGAAGAGTGGGGTAAGTTGTTATTTTAACAAGACAGTCATTCCATTATATATCGCATTAATTCAATCAAATAGACAGGGAAAGGAAATCATTATACAATTGCTTAGTGGTTATAAATAAATTTAACTATACACAAGCACAAAGATGTGCAACTACGTTAATTACTGCCCTGGTCTTGCCTCATAGCAAAAGCAAATACATTGCTTTTTATTTAGTCAATATCATACTTTCCCTTTAGTCAACTCAGTGCATATATGTTCAAATTACTTTTAAAAGGTTACCACCATCCTGCTAGCTAAAATATAAGTAAAAAAAAAATTGCAGGAAAGCGTCTTTTTCCTCAAAATAATTTTTGTCTGTCTGAAGTGTAGCATTAGATTCAGGGTGCAATGGCAAGTACCTGAATGAGAAAAGGACAAGATGAATACAGGTGATGAAGATGTACACAAAATTGAAATTGACATTGAAAATGTCCCTGATTTTACAGTAACATCAAAAATTTAAGTTCAAGTAATACTTTCTACCAGATTGATAAAAAAGTAAGAAATGAACTTGTATGCCTTTTGGTGGCCTGAAGTTGAACTGTTATTGACATTTTGAAAGTAATATACAACGGAAGAAAGAAAAATATGTTATAAATCCTATTGCCAAACTAGTTTTGAGGTATATGGCAGGTTTGTACTGTACATTATTTAAAAAGCCTTCTCACTGCCCAAGGAGTCTCACATTGTATGTTTCTAGTAGGTTGAATAGCACCTCATGATATAAAATCAGTTGAAACCCAAAGAAATACAATGAAATAGGCTGTTAACATTCTTTACAACACAAAATCTATAACAGCAATTCCAAAAAGTGAAATTAACTTACTGTACAAATCTCACCTGTTTATCTTACAGTTAGATTGCAATAATTAAAGACCCCACAGCAAGCCAGCTGCCCTCTGAAACTGGCGCTGAGCTTACCCTGTTTCATGTTCCTCAGTGTATAAAAAGCACATTTACTAAGCACCACAGACATAAAACTACATATAATATTCACAGTCCAGGTTTGTTCAATGAACCTAAGGTAAGGAACATTAAAAACAGTTGCTGACAACAAAGTAAACCTGGAATAAACTAAAATAACACCAACATGTAGATTTCATTTCCTCAAAATGTTAAAAATGCACCATTAGAACGGCTCAATTTACAGTATAAATGACATACATGTAGGAAAGTGAAAGCACCAACACAATGACAGTTTTAAAAAATTGTTTTGCATGAACTCAAAACAGTTCCATGGATTGTTGTACAACCCTCTGTTAAAAATTCATCAGTTTAATTTAGGTGATGCTTAAAAAATAATTACTCAGTGTAGCAATGCTGTATAACTAGATTTTATGATTTAAAGGTATCCCCAAAACATTTAATTCTCATTATCAAAAAGTGCTACCTGAAACACTGACTTGCCAAAAACCATTATGATGCTGATGATTTGACAGTGGGATGAAATTTTCAGTGTCCTGTTGACATAAGTTGTTGAGTGTCACTCGTAGAGTGTGTTCTGGCTATAGTGTGAAGGCATTTGAATTAAAACAAATTGTAATAAGCACACACTGTAGCACCGTGAATGTTGCCATTTACAAAGTCAGTGTTTTATGCCAAGATGACATCTCCAAAATTTTGTAAGAAAAATAAAGCCACCAAAAATGAAACTTTGTTTCCATTAAAAATAGGTCCTTATGTATCAGACTGAAAGCACCAGAGATCTTGACAGTGTGTATCTTGCCAGAGTTGCTCAACAAAAATAAATACATCCTTAGTAAGGTCAACTAGTAAAGCTTGATTGTTAAAGAGGTGAAAAACCTGATGTGAAAGGTGATTTACATCTCATCTGATCACAGTTTCCTTTTTCTATGCAACACTGTTGCTAACCTTATGGATAAGGAGTGTTCAGATGAGGTCAGTGGTGCTTGTGATCTTTGTCATAAATAAAGCACCTTTAATTGACTTCTTCATGAATGTTTTCTACACAAACTGACTGTAAGGCCCCGTGACCTTGGTGAAAGCATACGGAGATGTACTGACATATGTGTTTGTTGTGCACGACAAGGACCCCTCCATTAGTGCCTGGATAAAACGCTTGTAAGGAGGCTCCCCGGTGGTTTCTGATGACTCTGAATGCTCACGCTTCACCCCCTTCTTGCCCTTGCTAGGTGTCCCCTCACCGCCATTCCTCTCTGCATCCTCTTCCTTCTCTCGAGCCTTCTCTGCCATTTTGGCCTCCCACAGTGCCAAGCCATGCTTGGCTTCGTTCATATTTTTGTGCTGGTAAAAGACCAAGGAGATGCGTGTGGGGTGGTTGCGGTCTGGGTTTTTAAGGGGTGTTGTGGCGTGAAGCTCCCGTTTTGCACACTCAATGAGGACTGAGCCGTGGCTCGGTGCCACTGCCACACCACCAATGTCAGGGTCCAAGAAGTTGTGCTCATTGTCTGACCACATCTCAGGCTTTTGTGGTGTTGTGGGTGTCTGTGGTGTTCCAGGCTCCTGCTTAATACTGGGCCCCATGAGGCTCCCATTAGGCAGACCTAACCCTGACTGTGTTTCAGGGTTTAAACACCCACCACTTAACTGAGCAGAAAGCATCTGTGGGCGAGGCATGCCCATCTCAGTCTTTATTTGCATATGGAAAGGATCTTGGCCTGGGGGTAAGATTTGAGGGCCCCGAGATAGGTATGGGTTTGGGTATCCTTCAAGCTGATTGCCTTTACTCACAGCAGCTGTATATTCTAGACCTCCATGGGCTGAGGGTGCTCTTGAGAGTGGGTCCATGAATTGTGGATCTGAGGCTCCATTTAGACCATAAGGGGAATAAGGTCTCATGGGATGAACTGGCCTCATACTGCAAGCATTGTAACCATTGACCTGTATACCTGGCTCACCATACCTTGGTGGATAATTGACCCCATAGCGTTGATGTAGGCCGTACTGCTGCTCTGAGTAAAGCGCTGGCCGCTGTTGTCGATACATTTCCAAGTGCTTTGGGTTTGAAGCATAGTATGCATGGTAGTTGTCAAGGGGCATACCTCCGTTACATTGATAACCAGGGTATGGACGATTTGATCCATTGATGTAAGAGTTTGGTACATGAAGCGGGGAGGGGTAAGGGCTGGCTGGTGTTGGTGGCTGAGGTGCATACATGCTGCCGGGCTTGGAAGTGCTTGGAAAAGACCCAGGGTGGTTGTGGAACCTGGGGTAGCCAGCCGCATTTGTTGAGCCAGGATATGGGGGAAGAATGCTCTGGTGCTGTTGTTGCTGTAGCTGCTGATGATGGGCCCCAAGGGGGTGTGTTGGCTGACCTGACTGTAGGGTTGCTCCCAAAGCACCATGAATAAGTCCTAGAAAACAAAAAGCCCAACAGATAAAGGCCTAAGCAGTGAAGAAATTACACTTTTTGTCAATTTATTGCTGTTTGGCTTTTCAGTGTTAATTTAATATGTTAGGAACTTGTCCCTACAAAGACATGCAATATTTAAGATACAATTAATGACATTTGTCAGAGTAAATGTTACTTTACCTGCCATAGGAGTGCTCTGAGCCGTATTCTCATAAGTGCCAGCTTTTGACTTGGCCAGGAGGGCCTTCTCTGCCTTATCATTAGCGCTATCCAGCATGGCATTCTTGTTGGCAGCTGCCTTCTTAGCATCAAGCTTTTTTTGCCGACAAGACTTGGCAGGTTCTGCAAGCATGCGCACCTGACGGCGGAAGGCACTGAGGACTTGGATGGCGCCTGACTTAATTTTCTCCTGCTGACCCTCCTCACTGCCAAATTCATCAGTGCTGGAAGCCTTATAAAGAGGCAGTACATGGAGCTGCTCATCCTCGGGTATCTTTCCAATCTCTCGGTTATCCTCCCTTGTTAATGTACACACCTGGAAAAAGAGAGTGAGTTCAATATTTTTGGTTTGGTATTTCACGGATATTAAATAACAAGTTAAATAACAAGTTTGATTATTATTCACATATATGATTTGAAGCCATGCTTCGATGAGACATTTGAAGGCATGGCTTGATGTGCAGTTTGAGTCTCTGTATCTATTCCTCAAACAAATACAACATACTTAGAAAGATACACATTTCCCAAATTCTTCTTACCACAGTGCTGCCACCCTGCATGTTGTGGAGGTCTCTGTGAGCGTGGGCACAGAAGTCCAGACAAGCAGTGACCCCAGAGAAGGGACGGCCATCCTTGAGTCCCAGACGGCAATCTGGTGCCCTGTGTTCATGTTCTACCTGTGTCCAGAAATAACAGGAGGTAAATATGGATAGGATATTAAGAGTTTCTGAATAAAGTCATTAGGAAATCTTTACAAAACTACATGTAGACACTTTAAGAAATACCCATGCACAGTGTAAGGTTTGACCTGTATGCAAGTTGCATCACTCACATGTTATAAATGCACATGTCACTTAAAACCATGGTTGGTTTAGATTTGGTCTGAAAATCAACTATACTTTTGAGAAACAGGACATTTTCATATATTTTGAATAATAATAAATCATGAATTATTGTTATTACTGTTGTAGATGTGGCAATGCAAGCAGTGCAATGCCCGTATTTACTTACTTGGTTTCCATAAGCTTCAGGTGCCAAAGTTTTATATAAGGGACCCAATAAGGTTGCCAGATTTTGAAAGTTGTGCTCAATTTTCTCTTCCTG